ACTCGGTGATGGACAGGAGCCAGATTCTGGATTTGGAGTCAGGAATGCTCGGATCGAGATCAAAGGCAGACGAACAGACAGGGTCCTCCTCGGACATTGGCCATTGAAGGAAGAGAGTTGACCCTTTGATCCCTCAGCTTTTATACTGAGCATGATGCAGATGGGATGGAATACCCTGTTGGTCAGTTTTGGGTCACCTGTCCTGTCCGCTCCTCTTGACAGGTGGGACCCCTCTACACTTTTCCGCTTCCAACCCTCCAACGGGGCAAATAACAATTTTACCTGACCTTGGTTGTTATAGCAATAAGTATAACCAAGGGCCTCTCTGCACACCATTCCTTGGTACAATCAGGTCTTATCACTGTAAGAGTAAACAGTTTCTGAACAATATGCTGTTAATTTTAGAGTTTAGTTAGTTAGAAGAGGCCCAGCTGAAAAAGTAAAATTACTGAACAAAAAATTAGTTCTGTTTTACCTCAAACCAGGACACAAGTGCAAGAGAGAAGATAAACCCCCTTTTTAATCCCTTCCCCCATAAATCTATATTAGAAAATACATTCTAGAGTGATGGCCTTTTCCTTAAGGGGCTCTGGGAGCACACCACTTGAAGTGCAGCCTCCCTGGAGCCAGGCCTGGCTGGAGCACCCATGGACACCAGTGTAACCCCAGGTCAAAGCGGTGGTCTCCCCTAGAGCCAGGGCTGCAGCGCAGGGGAAAGTCAAGCTTGCCAGCCCAGCCTCTGCTCCCAGGTGGCAGCCAGGGAGCAGACAGATGCTACAAAAGCAACAGAATAGCCTGATTCCCACCACATCCCACTGTCATTGACTGATGAAAAGACTGAGCTCTGCTCCAGCCACCCAGACCCAGCAGACTGGGGCAGAGGCTGTTGTGTGCTGAGGGTGCCCACAAAAGCATGACAGGGAGGCCTCAGCATGGGGTCTTGTTACCGAAGGAGGGGACCCGGGTAGGACAAACACGTCACATGGAGCCACAGCTCAACTCAGGCTCTCCTAGGCTGAGGAGGATAATGGATGTGGTGGCATCCAGGCAGAAGCTGTATCGGCTGCCAGCTGGGGAATGCCAGCCCACTATGTTCCAGGAGGGGATAGAGGACCTTGTGGGTGCATGGCAGAGTTCACACTAGCCCTCAAGAGTCTCCCCTGAGTCTGGAAGCTGGTTGAATTTATAACTTCAGCTCAGGTGTGAAATAACTGCATCATCCCTTCGTTTGCGCCGGCTCTTGTTTTGACTTCCAAGAAATTTGCCCACATAAAGAAGTTGTTTCTCTGCTCTGCCTTCCATTTCCAGAGCCTTGGATGCCCTGTTGAACAGGATGGACATGTGTTCATCCTTCCTTCTTTTTATCTCCACAAAGTTGTAAGTTCCACCTTGGAGCAGTGGAATGTATAAAGGCTCCTATCAACTACTGCAGCAATTCCTTACACAATGCCACTGTGGATGTCCCACACCATGGGCAGTGTTCCATGGCAGTCCTTGAGCCACTCCATTTTTCACATACAGGACCTGGCTGGGGTAGCCCAGCTCCACCGCTGTTTGCACTGTGAGAAGCTCACTTTCCTCTGGCTCTGTCCCAGGCAGGGCAACAGCTCCTTCTCCAGAGAAGGGAGCGCTGTGCCCCCCCATCCACTGACGCCTCTCTTGCAGGGACATGAGCAGGACATGACTGGCAGCACACACGGTAAACACACTCGCACACCTGCAGGGAGCCAGTGCTGCCAGCCAGGGAGGGCAAAGGGCAAGGCTGGACAAGGCGGCAGCCAAGGGATGTGTCAGCTCTGGGACACAGACAAGGCCCAGGTCTGCAGTCACCCACACAGTCCGGACATCCAGCTACTGCCACAGCATCTCCCCACAGGAGGCCCAATGCCCGTGCTGGCCTGGAGGTGCAAAAGGAGAAGGAAGAAGCCTTGCCATGACCTCAAGTTCAGGGCACATAAAGCCAAACTTCCCCTACCTTCCTTCAGCCCAAGGAAGCCCAGCTCCAGCACCGAACACCTCAGTAGCCTCACCAGCCTCCTTCCACGATGAGATGTCTCTCTTATGCTGGGGAGCCCCAAATGGGATGTGGCGCACAGAGCAGTGGAGCTCCTTCACCAGCCCATCCCTGCACTCCTGCCGACCCAGTCCGGGACCTGCTGGCCACCCTCACCACTCATGACCACAGCTGATGGCATCTCTGCCAGAGCCCACGCTCCCCCACTGCTGGCTCAGCGGTGTCCCGACTGCTCTGGCAGTGCTGGAACCGCAGGCAGAGCGAGCCCTTGGCGTCTCAGCCTCGCGCTAGCCTTGCCTGCGGCCTTGAGCCACGTCAGCAGCACCAGGCGCAGATCTGCACGGTGCTGCCTGTCGGGGCAGCCAGCCCAGGGTCAGACCCATGCCCCGGCCAGACAGACCCCTGCCAGCAGGGCAGCAGCCACCTGCTAAGGCAGTGGGGTGCTCCGCACTGTGGGGCCAGCCATCCTCCCCCACTGGCTGCTTGGTGGGTGAAAGCCAGAGCATCAGACATCCCTCCTTATCGTCCATTATCTTCCAGACAAAACCAAACTGGGTCGTGAGTCCCTGACGTGCTCAGGCAAGCCAAGGCTGCACTGCACTGCCAGCCTGAGGCTCTCCCCATAGGGGGCCCTGCAGGCTGGCATGGGGTGGTCCCAGGTGCACTGAGGGTGCAGGGCACAGCCCTAGCATGTGGTGGCTCTGGGTGTGCTAGGGGTACAGGGGACAGAAGCACAGCACATTGTGGTGGAGCCCACAGCAGGAGGGCTCTGCAGCTCCCAGTGGGGTTGTTGAAGTCTCATTCCCCTGGGGTCAGGGTAGCCCCCCAGCAAAGTCGTTCCCTGGCGTCAGCACACCAGCCCTCATCCTGCTTGGTGAACACAGCCTCCAGAGTGGAAATGTCCTTCCACAGGACAGGGGCCACGTGAGTCTAGAGGTGGCCTC